TTCCATTTATTTTTGATGATACATTGTTTTGTATTTTAGGTGACGATATATATATTATTATATTTAAAACTATTTGAGTTTTGTATATAAAGTAGTTATATTTTTTGGTTATCATGCACTCATATTGAAACAAAATTCCAGTTTTCATACTGTACTGTATACAGTATTCTTTACACTTTGTTACGTACTATATAATATTACTAATACATGTATATGGCTTAAAAAATTAAAAAAAGAAAATATCCATATGCATGAATAGAGGAATTTCAGCGAATTGCCTTATCATCACATGGCAGCGCTCCATTTCGTCGTAATTTTTGGTAAACAAATGAGGTTCAAACGGGTGTAAAATGTAATTTTTAAAATAAAGATTTTTTAGGTAAAAACCCTGCTAAAGGTGTAAAATGTGAATTTATTTAAAAGTTTATAGTGTAATTTAATTCACTTGAAGTAAAAAATGTGAATAAAGTGTGTTTAATGTGCTGAAATAGCTTTTTGAAATGTTCGAATTTTGCGAATTTTTGAACTTTAAAGTCGAATATCTCTATTTTTTTAATCAGAAGGTCTTCCTCTTTCCAACGGTACCTTTAAATCGCGGCGCCAAAGAAATCGGAATTGTGCCGCATTTACTATTTTAATATTATTTTTTTGATATAAAGCCTATATATGGTTTATATTGTTATATTTTGTATAATTTGCTTTAATATACTAATTCTTAATATTCACACAAATTGTACATATGTAAGATAATTGAACAATATTTTCAATTAATAAATTTAGAACGATAAATTTACTCAATACTGGTAATTTAAATATATCATAGAACTTCGGCTTTTTCTGATTTCACCTATTTTTAAGTTTATGGTTGCCGTAATGCAGGGGTAGGCATATACCATGTTCGGACCTACACTTAATCACACGATTTCGGCTGTTGAGTGGTTTATCCCACTAATTTTATAAATTTATCAAGATTTCGCCATACAAAAAGAACAGTTCAAAATGACTTCTTTGAAGTCTTGTTATCCACGCTAAATCTCTCTATGCGACTCTGATTTTGCGTTACACTTTCTCAGCTGATTTTTTTTTTAAAGCAATGAATCTAATTTCACCTGAAAATCTACTTACCAAATGAAAAAAATGCGTCCATTATTTCCATTATATGGGAAATATTAAAAAAAAAAAATACAGCTTTTATTACAAAATACTATATGATAATATTTTCTTTTGATAAATATTGAACGAGGCGGGATGCCAGAAGTAAACCATTATAATTACCTGACGAAATTAGTGTGAAATGAATTTTCATTGAATTTCGGCAAAATAAATGTGTATGTAAATTACTTAATGATTTTTAGCATTTTTAAATGTATGCATTTTCAAAGTGTTTAATTTAGTGTTTGTATAATTTATTAAATACCCAATCTAATATTTTTCAGCAGTGGCATCATTGGCAAATGTTATAAAAAAAATGCGAGTTTTGACAGCTCTCTCTCGAATCAAAGAGTCTCGTTTCATATTATCCATGTAATTGCGTTCAAACATGAAAAGGGAATTGAGAGCAACGTATTTTACGACTGCATGTTTACAAATTAGAGCCCGCGCATATATGGGAAGTTGCACTGTGGGTAATAATTGTAAAATTGTCCACAAATTTTAAGTTTTTTTATAACTACTATAAATTTTTAAAATGTAAAACAAATAACAAAAAGTATAATAAATATTTTATTTTAGTAATAATATGTCTTTATAACAGCATTTAATTTAGTTTATTTGAAATAATAAATTCTATGTTTGGTTTAGTCTCATTTGCTGTAGCTACACTCATTATTGTACCAAGATTTAAATCAGATAACCTACTTCTTATTTTATGTTTGTTTAATTTCATTATTGAAAAAATTGTTCAAAAGTGTAGATGCTTCCAAACATAGCTATAATTTTAGAAGCAAAATGTTTCAAACAAGGATATTGCTTTAAACAAAGATCTTTATAAAAAGTAATTCTCTCTGAAGTTTGCGCAAGCTTATTTTTTTGATGCGGATTGTGGCTAGACGTTCATCCATCGGAATGAATGCCAGGACTCGGCGGCGGTGTCTCTCTCCAACCCCGAGTCCCACATCGAGTTTGGGCTCCCTGGTTTGACCACTGTAGTAAATGCCAAAACGACCTACTCGGCTCAGTCCTTGTCCAATCCATCGCACTTCTTTAACGACGGCGATGTCAGCTTTTACTCTTACGAGGACATCAACCAGCTGCGCAACGGCACCTTCTCAATAAGGCACCGGACCATTCTGCTGAATACGTTTGCAGTGGTTGTCATTCAAAGATGGGGTCTCTCATCTGAGGCTGTTTTCTACCTTTCATTGGGGAGGTATTTTTTTAGGTGGCGAGTCAACCTTGGGTGCGGATGTTTCTTGGCTACAGAGAGGATACTTATGCCCGGTTTCACAGTCCATACTTGAGTTGTGCCCAAATAAAATCTTAGCTAAGCATTGTTGTAGGCTGAGTAGTCGTTTACGTTTCACAGTGATGCTTAATTTCTATAAAATTTTATTGTGATATATGGCAACGTTATGGGCAGCATGTATTTTACAAATGTCATCTATATAAATATGTTTGTCGAGTAGTCGTTTACGTTTCACAG